CATGTTAGGTTAGGTTAAGTTAGGTCAGGTTAGGTTAGATTAAGTTAGGTTAGGTTAGGTTAGGTTAAGTTAGGTCAGGTTAGGTTAGGTTAAGTTAGGTCAGGTTAGGTTAGGTTAAGTTAGGTCAGGTTTAGGTTAGGTTAAGTTAGGTCATGTTAGGTTAGGTTAAGTTAGGTCAGGTTACGTTAGATTAAGTTAGGTTAGGTTAGGTTAAGTTAGGTCAGGTTAGGTTAGGTTAAGTTAGGTTAGGTTAGGTTAGGTTAAGTTAGGTTAGGTTAGGTTAGGTTAAGTTAGGTCAGGTTGGGTTAGGTTAAGTTAGGTCAGGTTTGGTTAGGTTAAGTTAGGTTTAGGTTAGGTTAGGTTAAGTTAGGTCAGGTTTAGGTTAGGTTAAGTTAGGTTAGGTTCGGTTATTAGGTTAGGTTAGGTTAATTAGGTTAGGTTGGGTTTTAATTAGGTTAGGTTAGGTTAATTAGGTTAGGTTAGGTTAATTAGGTTAGGTTAGGTTAATTAGGTTAGGTTAGGTTAATTAGGTTAGGTTAGGTTAATTAGGTTAGGTTAGGTTAATTAGGTTAGATTAGGTTACGTTAGGATAGGTTAAGTTAGGTTAGGTTAGGTTAGGTTAGGTTACGTTTCGTTACGTTACGTTACGTTACGTTAGGTTAGGTTAGGTTAGGTTAGGTTAGGTTAGGTTAGGTAAGGTTACGTTACGTTACGTTACGTTACGTTAGGTTAGGTTAGGTTAGGTTACGTTACGTTAGGATAGGTTAAGTTAGGTTAGGTTAGGTTAGGTTAGGTTAGGTTAGGTTAGGTTAGGTTAGGTTAGGTTAGGTTACGTTAGGATAGGTTAAGTTAGGTTAGGTTAGGTTAGGTTAGGTTAGGTTACGTTAGGTTAGGTTAGGTTAGGTTAGGTTAGGTTAGGTTAGGTTAGGTTAGGTTACGTTAGGATAGGTTAAGTTAGGTTAGGTTAGGTTAGGTTAGGTTAGGTTAGGTTACGTTAGGTTAGGTTAGGTTAGGTTAGGTTAGGTTAGGTTAGGTTAGGTTAGGTTAAGTTAGGTTAGGTTAGGTTAGGTTACGTTAGGATAGGTTAAGTTAGGTTAGGTTAGGTTAGGTTAGGTTAGGTTAGGTTATGTTAGGTTAGGTTAGGTTAGGTTAGGTTAGGTTAAGTTAGGTTAAGTTAGGTTAGGTTAGGTTAGGTTAGGTTAGGTTACGTTAGGTTAGGTTAAGTTAGGTTAAGTTATGTTAGGTTAGGTTAGGTTAGGTTAAGTTAGGTTAAGTCATGTTAGGTTACCTGGTTACCTGGAGGTTACCTGGAGGTTATTCCGGGGATCAACGCCCCCGCGGCCCGGTCCATGACCAAGCCTCCCGATGGATCAGGGCCTGATCAACTAGGCTGTTACTGCTGGCCGCACGCAGTCCAACGTACGAGCCACAGCCCGGCTGATCCGGCACTGACTTTAGGTATCTGTCCAGCTCTCTCTTGAAGGCAGCCAGGGGCTTATTGGCAATTCCCCTAATGCTTGATGGGAGGCTGTTGAACAGTTTTGGGCCCCGGACACTTATGGTGTTTTCCCTTAGTGTACCAATGGCGCCCCTACTTTTTATTGGGGGTATTTTGCATCGCCTGTCCAGTCTTTTACTTTCGTAGGGAGTGATTTCTGTGTGCAGATTTGGGACCATTCCTTCCAAGATTTTCCAAGTGTAGATTATGATATATCTCTTCCTCCTGCGTTCCAACGAGTACAAGTCAAGTGCTTCCAAGCGTTCCCAGTAGTTAAGGTGCTTGACAGAACTTATACGTGCAGTAAAGGATCTCTGTACACTCTCTAGAACTGCGATTTCACCTGCTTTGAATGGAGATGTTAATGTACAGCAGTATTCCAGCCTAGAGAGAACAAGTGATTTGAAAAGGATCATCATTGGCTTGGCATCTCTCATTTTGAAAGTTCTCATTATCCATCCTATCATTTTCTTTGCACGTGCGATCGTGGCACTGTTGTGATCCTTGAAAGTGAGATCCTCAGACATTACTACTCCCAGGTCCCTTACATTATTTTTCCGCTCTATTGTATGGCCGGAGTCTGTAGTATACTCTGTTCTAGTTATTATCTCCTCCAGTTTTCCATAACGGAGTAGTTGGAATTTCTCCTCATTGAACATCATATTGTTTACCGTTGCCCACTGGAAAACTTTGTTTATATCTTCTTGGAGGTTAACCGCGTCCTCAGCAGATGACAGCCTCATGCAGATCCTAGTATCATCCGCAAAGGATGATACGGTGCTGTGGTGTATATCTCTGTCTATGTCTGATATGAGGAAAGGAATAAGATGGGGGCGAGTACTGTGCCTTGTGGAACAGAGCTCTTCACTATGGCAGCCTCCGATTTAACTCTGTTGACCACTACTCTTTGTGTTCGATTTGTTAGGAAGTTGAAGGTCCATCTCCCCACTTTCCCAGTTATTCCTTTAGCACGTATTTTATGGGCTATTACGCCATGATCGCATTTGTCAAATGCTTTTGCAAAGTCTGTGTATATTACATCTGCACTCTGATTTTCTTCCAGTGCATCCAAGGCCATGTCATAGTGATCCAGTAGTTGTGAGAGGCAGGAGCGACCTGCCCTGAACCCATGTTGCCCTGGATTGTGCAGATTTTGGGAATCCAGGTGATTTGCAATCCTGCTTCTTAGCACTCTTTCAAGGTTAAGTTAGGTTAGGTTAGGTTAGGTTAGGTTAGGTTAAGTTATGTTAGGTTAGGAAAACTATTAGTATAAAAGTCAATAAAAGAAAGGTAGCTCAAAATGCTTGGATCAAGAGCGCTTCACCTGCATCATGGCAAATAAATCTTTGGACTATTAACAAAAATTACAAACATCTTATGTAATATAAATAAAATTTATATTATTACAACATATAAGACGAAATTACAATAAAAATTCTCAGAATACATTTATTTAGATTTTATAATTCACCAAAATTTCACATATAACTTTTAGGTTTTATTTTAATTATTTAAAATGTTTTTATATAAAAAAAAGTACTTTTGGTCATCTGGCTGAGGCCTTCCACTGGCTTACAGGTCCACCCCTTTAAAATTATGGTTAGTAAGTATTTATTTTTTATATATGAAAAAAAAATACAGAGAAAATAAAACAAAATCACTTCGCAAAATCTTATAAATTCTTAAACTACAATAATTTTTAACGAATATTTTTGTTTTTCGTAATAAAATCTTACAAAATTTAATTTAATTTTTTTATATAATTCGTATTTGTTAACGTCGATAAAACAAAGTTTCTGGTCCGAGTCAACGACTCTTACGATGACTCACGAAATCGTAATGACATGATTGTAAACAAACCATACCACGGGCGGGGTTTGAACCCGCGATCAGTTTTGAGACTCTCTGATCGCGGGTTCAATCCCCGCCAGTGGTATTGTTTGTTTAACTCTTAAGGTGCCGGTGAAGAGTTTTTATCCAGGGAATAAAAGCTGCATTTTCTCTTCTGCTCGAATTTGATTGTCTGATATTCCTCAAGTGTTGTATGACTCCTCAGGGTTTAGCGGTCAGTGGTTACATGTCTTAAAATACAATGTTTTAATTTTAATGTTAACACTGATTAATATATCAAAACTCTTCTTTACTCTCGTACAATAATAAATAACTAACATCAATGTGATTAATTATGAACTCGACACAAATCATTAACTATATACATCATTGTTTTTATAAATATATATCCGGTACAACCCTCATACAAATTTTATTTTAATTTGCTTTTTATTTTTTATCATTATAAATTATGAGTCCACCCAGATAGTGACACTAGGGGAGACTATGATATTTTAATAAAATTATTATTATTATTATTGGACCTTGGTTCGAGTACCCATTCAGAATTGTGTTTATTCAGTGGTAGTCTATCATTACGACTTTTCTGGAGTTTATGGACTATAAGGCATTGAGGGGGTACGAAAATACATGTACCATGGAAGCTTCCGGGGTTGTAGAGTTGATGCCTCTGACACAGACACACAGAAGGGCTCTCTGTAAAATTTTCCTCACTAAAAATTTCGTGGCTCAGTGGCATGGTGTTGGACTCCTATATGTGAGTGCCACAGTTCGATTCTTAGTCTATACATAGTTTATATACTTTCATGTATAGAAACTATATAGCTCGGTATGTATATTTTCAGAAAAAAAGAGAATCTATAAGTACAAAACATGATTTAGGGCGTATTGACAACAGTTTCCAAATTGTTTTAATAGATGAAAGGTTGATGGGTAGACTTCTGGATGTTTTTATCATGTCATTATTTAGTGCAGCTACAGTAAGAGTAAGAGGTAGATGGGACAAGGAAAATGTCATCAGTGGAGGCTGAAGACAGTGGAGATGTGTTTAAGGGTAATATGTGGTGTGAATATTATGCAGAGAATTTGCAGTCTGGAGATTAAAAAAAAGATATGGGGTTACAAAAAGTATCATTCAGAGAGCTGAGGAGGAGTTGTTGAGGTGGTTTGGGCATTTAGAGAAGACGGTTTATAAATCTTGGGTGAAGGAAGGAAGGGTAAAGGTCGTCCTAGGAAAGGTTGGTGGGAGGAGATAAAGGAGGTTTTGAGTGTTAAGAACTTAAGCATCTAACAGGCTTGTGTGAGCGTGTTAGAAGTGGAGGCAAATGATTTTTTAATGACATGACGTGTTGTTGGAGTGTGAGCAAGGTAACATTGTGAAGGAGCGAGGAAACCAGTCACCTGGACTTGAGTCCTGGAGGTGGTGGTGCAGGACCTGCACTCTGAAGGAGGGGGGGGGGAAATACAGTGGGTTGGAAGGGCAACTGAGCTATAATATGAGCATACTTTTCGAAAGACAGTAGTTGAATGAGTGACGAAGAAAGTGTTTCCTCATTTTCGGAGCACCCCACCTTGGTGGAAGGTGGCCAGTTTAATTATATATTTATTTATTCCTTTCCTTATTAATTTATTGTGTACGTTAACTTCCTACCTTAACTTCTTTATGCTGTAAGAGAAGTGCGGCTCTATCTTGCGTTGCTGCCAAACGTGCGAAGTGTTCGTGTGTGCGTGCATCATCTTCCTGTTGCCGACGACGCTCTTCAACTTGCTGCTTCAGCCCAGCAACGTCAACCTGCAACACAGTATTTCCTTATGTCATGGATGAGTGTTATGCATCACAGCGATATCTTCCCTGCTGGCTAATAAGGCCGTCACAGTGAACATCGAAATGGTATAAAATACCGACAAGTTGTTAGGTAAGACACATATGCAACAGTTAAGTATTTTTATTTCGAAACGTTTCGCCTACACAATAGGCGAAACGTTTCGAAATAAAGATACCTAACTGTTGCATATGTGTCTTACCTAACAAGGCCGCCACAGCTGACGCTTTAAACCTGCCTCCTCCTCCCTCAGTTGTTGTAGGTTCGCCGGTTCTGTCCCGGCCCAGGTCTTTTCCAGATGGTGACCCAGAGCCCTCCCTCAGGAAAGCTTACTGGATGCCAGTGAGCAGCTCATGACCCAGTGATCCTCCCTTTCCATGGATTGAACCTGATTGCCTCCCATTACGGCGCTGTGTGATCCCGGATTTAGTGTTTCGCTCATGAATGTAATAACGTTAATAATAGCCTCTCTTTGTTTGGGGAAGAAATATTACCCAGATTTCGGCAGGTTCTGAGATGTGAACAATGTACTCTGAAAGGAGCATGGGGGAGTGAACAATGTACTCTGAAAGTAAGGAGCACGAGGGAGTGGAATAAAAATAAAATAATGTATTTTGGGTAGGGTACCATATTTTACTACAGGAGTTCTAAACATCTTCTCTTAAAGGACATGAGAAACCTAGGCTGCGGTAGCCTAGCGGACGCTGAACCAGTTACGTCTCAATATTTTATAGAAACCCGTGTTAGAAGATACTTGTGCTGTTTCCTGAAGAATAAAACACCACCACCTGAGGCATAAAGAACACGTCGACCACCACCAGAGGCATAAAGAACAGGTCGACCACCACCAGATGCAGAAAGAACAGGTCGACCACCACCAGATGTAGAAAGAACAGGTCGACCACCACCAGATGCATAAAAAACAGGTCGACCACCACCAGAGGCATAAAGAACAGGTCGACCACAACCAGAGGCATAAAGAACAGGTCGACCACCACCAGATGTAGAAAGAACAGGTCGACCACCACCAGATGCAGAAAGAATAGGTCGACCACCATCAGTGTACGATGATTTCATGATGTATCAGGATACATCATAATATGAGATGTTAAGATATGTATTTGTATTATTTATCAAAATATTTTATTGTACGAAATATTAAATTCTTTATTATATAAGGTATCAAGATAGTTCGTTAAATGAGGGTTAAGGCTCAAGAGGTAAAAAGAAAACAACTTTAGCAAGTCTTAATAAAGTCTGATGAACAGCAAAAACATTGTCGTAAACGTAGTTTCCAGCTGCGCTTCTGTGTCGTCATCAAATACCACAATGTGTAAGGGATTAAAATATTCTTGATTGGTGGGTAAACAAGCGACATACAGTCTTAATGACCTTCGTGTAGTCGATAGGTTTTAACCTCAATTAACCAACTGACTGGGCTGGCTGACGCCAGGGTAACCTTGGAGACAAAGTCCTTCCCTGCTGGCGATGGCGCTCTGCGTCATCCTCGTTACTACGTAAATAAATTCTTTGTGATGGTGGAATTGTGATATATATGAACAACTGCTCAACCCTTATGGGTCATACAAAACATGGCAATCATGTTCGATTTAAGGAAGAAAAAGGAGTGTTTTAATACTTTTATCAAGAGTTTTTAAGGTATCAAGGCAGTTCACTAGCAGAATCACGGGAATTGGGAGGAATGAGATTCTTGGAGAAAAGTGAAAATATTCTGACTCAGAAGATAACTTTTATATTCTCTCATATCCTACTAGATCAGCGAAGCTTACAAGGAAGCGCTTCAAGCTTCAGCGGCAACTGACTGATGTATACACGGAACTGTCTGAGGTCCTTGTAGTACCAACAGCACTTTGAGGGGAACCTGAGTCCTGTAGTCAGGTCCCAGGTGAGGACTAGTTGCCACCCCTAGCGCTAGACTTGGCCCAGTTGTGAACTTTGCACCAAGTCCTTACATTATTCCTGATGCAGGTGTTCGTGAGGAGACCTTATTCTAAACTTTAGCCCAGGTGAGAGCAGATCACCAGCACGTACACTGTAGTCGTGGCACAGACATGGAGTGATCAAGTCGAAACCAAGGTTCAGTGTACAACAGGATTACCACAAGTGAACTCTCTTGCCCCCTTCACTGTTGAAAGGCGAGGTGATTTCTCTGCCAAAGTGAACTAAAGCTTAAAACGCACAGAAATTTTTATTTCCAGCGGCTTCAGTTCTTCGTCTGAAGATCAGAGGTCTGACTCTGAATGCACTTGAACTTCCACAAAGGATAATGAGGATAATAGCTATAATAAGATAGCTAACCTAAGTAAATTCTTTAACCACTCAGTTCACTGACGCCAATTCATCAATACAAGCAGCAGGTTCTCTCTTAGGTAACCAGCTTAAGCCGGACATCCTTAGCCAGACGGAAAGGTTAGAGTGCCCGGTTCACAAAGTGATCATCTTAGGCGGGAGAAGTTAAGAAATTACACTAATCAATCTCGGCAAAACCTTCTTGTGTTGGGACTCAAGTGGTGGATAAAATACCCTGAGAGTGACTCGTTCCCCTCATTACCTCACAACCAATACCAGTGGGAAAGAAAGTCAGCACCACCACTGCTAGTGGAGGAGAGGCTAATACCTCCACTTCATTCGAGGAGAGGTCCTCCTCCACATCACTGGTGAAGGAGGGAGCTTCTGCTACCACTACTACCAGAGGAGAGGACCTCCACCACTACCACCACCACCACTGGTGAGGGAGGGAGGTTCTACCATCACACTTACCAGAGGAGAGGACCTCCACCACCACCACCACCGGTGAGGTGATTTCTCACACTAAACATTTCCTTTCTCCTGAACTTATTCCACGGTACAAACTCTTCCGTCTCTCACTTACCCAGTGTCACCAGCTACATTCCAGGTTACCAGCAATTGTTCCAGGTCACCAGCTATTGTTCCAGGTCACCAGCTATTGTTCCAGGTCACCAGCTATTATTTTAGGTCACCAGCTATTATTGCAAGTCACCAGTCATTGTTCCAGGTCACCAGCTATTGTTCCAGGTCACCAGCTATTTGTCCCAGGTCATCATTTATTGTTTCAGGTCACAAGCTATTGTTCCTGGCCATCAGCTATTGTTCCTGGCCACCAGCTATTGTTCCAGGTCACCAGCTACTGTTCCAGGTCACCAAGTATTGTTTCAGGTCACTAGCTATTGTTCCACCACAGACACTGGTAGTCTTCACTAGAATTTCTTCCAGTTATTTACCGAACGTTCTCCCACTGTTGTACACCTGAGGTAATGTCATAGTTCTTAATGTTGAAGTTCTGCAGCACTTGGCTTAAAGTAGCCTCATAGGTTTGACACGAAATTCTGCAGTTCCTGAAGTGCAGTTCTCTCACAGCTCTTGACCTTAAGTTTGACAGTTCTGGTCGAGTTTCCACAATTCTTGACTTGAAATACTCCCAAAATCCTTGACTTGAGGTCCTCCCACAATTCTTGACTTGAAGCCCGTAGCTCGATTGCTAACGCACTCAGCTCACACACACTAAGGTCCGTGGCTCGATCTGTGGTACGGGTGGAAACATTAGGACGTGTTTCTTTAACACACCTGCTGTCCATGTTTACCTATCAGTAATTTGCGAGAAATGCTCTGCATAACCAGGGGCTTTCTATATCGTAGTATGTCATTGATGTCAGCTAGGCCTGTATACCTGGTACTACCTAGGTACGGCCCTATGCTGTACATTCTACAAGACTGATGGACTGAACACATCGACTCCAGGCTGAGGGACTGATTACCTCAAACTCCTCCTCTCCTCACACCTTTCTGCTTTGTATTGGACTGATGAAGCCACTGTGTGGCGAAACGTTTCCTGAATAAAGATTCCCATATGTTGCACAAGTGTCTCAATCTTCATTATTATTATTATTATTGTTATTATTATTATTATTATTATTATTATTATTATTATTATTATTATTATTATTATTATTATTATTATTATTATTATTATTTTTATATTATTACACTTCTTCCACGACTACATTAGTTCTTGAGATATTAGTGGCTGACGTTACCATCACCTCGTCTCGTGTCTGTCCACTTCTGGTATCATTACTTTGAGTCCAGCCTATATATAAGGCGCTATAGTGTATAAACGCCATCATATATGCACATGTCAGTGTTTATGCATTTGCATATACACATCTCCACGTACATACACCACTCTGTGTGCGTTACTACATACACTCAGTAGCCACTTTGTTAGATATATCTGTACACCTGTTCTCTAATTTAAATATCTAATCGGCCAATTACGTTGGCAGGACCTACGACTAAAAGCAGACATGGGTAAGAGGTTTATTTGTTTAGACTAAACGTCAGAATTAAGAAGAAACATGGTCTAAGTGACTTTGACCGTGGTATGATTGTTGGTGTCAGAAGGGTTGGTCTGAGTATCCCAGAATCTGCTGATCTCCTGGGATTTTCACGCACAACAATCTCTGGAGTTTACAGAGAAGGGTGTAATACCAGGTAGTTCTGTGGGGAAAAAATGCCTTTTTAATGAGAGAGGCCATGAAGGAATGGTCAGACTGGTTGAAGTTGACAGGAAGACGACAGTAACTCAAATATCCACGTGTTACAACGGTGGTATGCAAAAGAGCATATATGGACGCACAACACGTCAAACGTTAAAGTGCATGGGCCCAGCAGCAAAGAACCACACCGGCTTCCACTATTGTCAGCTAAGAACAAGATTCTGAGGCTACAGTGGGCACTGGCTCACCATAACTGGGCAGTTGAATGAGCAGGAAAAACATCGCTTGGTCTGACGAATCGTGGTTCTGCTGTGACATGTACGTATATGGATTTGGCGTAAACTTTCGGGATGTGGTGGAATGGGAGATTTGCAACATGAATGTGCGGCCGACAGATCAGCAGCAACCACGTATTGCTATCATGTCAACAT